ACCTTCATGTAAAATACTTTAATTTCATTGGTCAATGACGGTTTAACAAGTTTCCTTGTTACCCCCCACAGGGGGGTGACAACTGGAAATAATATTACCCGCTGCCACGGTAACGTCAAACTCTCCGCCCAGAAGCTGTATGCTAACAATCGTATGACGTCATAATATGTCGCATACAGTGCACGGAGTTCGAAAACTGAATAAATCTCTCTCTCTCTCTCATCGACAAATTTCTCATCTATGAGGTTACTCAAGTTGAATAAAGATATGAGTATACTATATGTGTACCAGTTCGTAACCTACGTAAGAAAATAGTCTGTATGGGATCAACGTGGACGCTATCACCGTATACGCTGTAGAAATACCGTGACCCACGTGCATTGTATATGATAATGTTACACTACGCCGATTACGAACAATGTTGACTCCATTCACAGTTGTTGTTACCGTCGTTACCGTAGGTGTCGATGTAGCAATGTCGCAGGATGTGATGACCAAACGAGATATGTTCAGGAGTCAGCACCATTGCCTGTGATAGGCGGCTAGTATGGACTGAATACTTACTTCTTAATGCCCATCTACAGTTGTTGTTATGGTTACGGCAACAGTCGCTGGTGTAGTCCACGTAGTTGTATTGGCGCCCGAAATGTCGTTGAGTCGACGCTAATGCAGCTTTTTTCAAAGAACTTTTTCTGATATTTCGAAGACAACGCTTCTGAACTCACCAACACTGCCAGTGACAGGCAGACAAGTATGGAGAGGAAATTCATTCTGCTGTATGTGGAGCTGTCCAAGCGTTGCCGTTCAAGCAGCAGGGAGTGTATTTATATGCTGTGGATTAAACTGCTATGGGAATTATATCCAATTAAACAGTCGTTCAAATACTGTAGCGTTTGTTTTGATGTTGAACCAGCTGGCTAGGATGGACGTTTCAGGTGTTTTCCACTCAAGAAAGAACAATTCAGATATTTTTTACATAACAACACGCGGTGTCAATTTTTATGTACTGGAGACGTACATCTACCATTTTTTGGGCGCGACATATTGCTGAGTTCGGCGTTAAGCAACAATCACCAAAAAAACAAACGAATCAAATAAAACTGAACACTGTCCATTCTGAAGTGACTTGTCTCTCACAACAAACAAGCAAACAAACAAACAAACATTCGGGATCAGTTATGGGCTGCATAAACATTTGTTTATCTTTACATTGTTTTGTTGCACTGGTTTTGAACGTGTATGTCCACTCTGGTGTCTTATCATTATAGAACTTTAAAGTTACACTTTTCTGCCGCGCGATCGGTTTGCATCAAAGATGGTTGATGCAATACATTTCATTATATCAAATTCCGTTTCGTTTGTATTTTATTGTCGGGTACTTCCAATAGGGCCTGTAAGTCTCGCGAGGCGCTACTTCCGGAACTATACTGCGCGCGTCAACTTGGGCCAGTCTCAAACTCAAAATATACATGCAAGAGAAAATGCTTCCTTCAATTTGCCATAGCAGGGCATATGCTGGTTCGTGTTCCACCAACCCGATGACCAAAACATGCTGAGATGACACAATTTCCCAAGTGTCTTACCATTTTGAAAATGAATTGATTGAAATAAAAAAAACAAAAAACAACTAATTACAATAGTTATTATTCGGAATGATAGCGCATACTTGTACTAATTTACTTCCGGTACCAGATTTCCGGTGACACACGTATATTCAAGAACCAGTTCTAGTTCCAAACTGCCCGACCGCCAAATATGACTTTACAAGATCGGACCAAGTGTACAACCATGCTTGGCTATGACAGCTGTTGACAGTCGTACTAGTTGGCTAATGTGGGGATGGTTAGATCGGAAATTTATTATTCCTGCAAGGATTATCGGTTCTTTACTGTCATATGACCCATTAGAAGATTCGAAAAGGTTGTTTGTCACCGGAAGTTCTCAGGTCTCGCGGACGTGCCGTGCCCTACTCACGGTCTCTATACTTAGAGTTTTGTATTAGTCAGTGCACATGATCCAGCAAGATACGTGTAACTACCTGCTGGTGACAGGTATCTATTGTAGACAATGAAGTATGTTACACTTAACTGTTATTAGTAGAATAGTGTAATAGACTTTGTTCACAGAAACTTGTTTTTTTCTCTCGGACACACCAGCAATAACACTTTCATCACCATCAACCTACACTCATCAAGAACCTTGCCGGCTCCTTAAGACTTCATACGTAATACTGGGCGTTCTTTTCTCGGGAGAATTTCCGGGTTAGAAATGATCTTCAGCAACCCATGCTTGTCGTAAGAGGCGACTGGTGGGATCGGGTGGTCAGGCTCGCTGACTGGGTTGACACATGTCATCGGTTCCAAATTGCGTGGATCGATGCTCATGCTGTTGATCACTGGATTGTCTGCTCCAGATTCGATTTTTTACAGCTGGGATATTGCTGATTGTGGCGTAAAACTAAACTCACCTACTCACTCAATTTTGGAAATATTTCCATTCATCAAGTTCCATTGTTTCATTTCGAGGACCACAATCAACCTAAAACTCAATGTACATGCAAGTGAAACTGCGTCCTTCAGTTCGCCATAGAAGGGCATATGCTGGTTCGTGTTCAACCAACCCGATGAACAAAAATAATGCTGAGATGGCACAATATTCACAAGTGTATTACCATTTTAAAAATGAATTGACTGAAGTATAGATAAAATAATTTACAATGTTTATTATTCGGAATGATAGCGCATACTTGCACTAACTGAACACTTCTTAAAGACAAACATACCAGCAGACTTCAGCGGTACAAATAACTGTGCAGATTTGCGTCCCTTAACCATAGCGTCCTAGTGTTTAAGGCGTTTGCTCGTCACGCCCGGGTTCGACTTCCCATATGAATACATTGTGTGAAGCCCATTTCTTGTTTCCCCTGCCGTGATATTGCTGGAATATTGCTAAAAGCGGCGTAAAACCATACTGACTCACTCACTTAACCATAGTTTGGGTTCGAGTACCAGGTTCCTTCATGTTAAATTTTGTTAGTGGTGTGTATTTCACAAATAATTACAGTTTTGATACAGCTATTTGAGGTTTCCTTCAACATTGAGTGTCAGTGGAATACGACCAGTATAATAAGGCAATGTGAGTCCTAAATTAAGTCACGGGGACTTCCTGTGTGCACAATCGACCGAGTTAATTTTACGCCGCTTTTAGCAATATGTCAGCAATATCACAACGGGGCACACCACACCTTGGCTTTACACATTGCATATGCTGCAGTTAGTTGCAGTTGGATTGTTAGTTGCAGGAAGTCATATACATACGGAGATGTCAGCCAGCAATCAACCGTGACCAAGGAATCTACCGACCATGTGCTTGGGACTCACTCATATAATTACATGTTCATCACCATTGCTTATCACCACCTCATCAGCCCACTGGCCTCTTGTTTGTAGCGCTTACTGCCATCCCTTACCTCATGTTCATACGGCTTCACTGGCTTCCCTGTGTTATTCTACACCCTATCAATTACCATGTTATTTTAGCGTATCACTGACCTCCTCGTGTTTGTATACTATCCCAAAAAAGAAATGCATAGATCAGAAATCTGTTGCGAAAATTTTGTATTTTCAAACATGTATAACTCTAGTACAAATAGACTTTAGTACATGAATTTTAACATCAGTTTAAAAGAAGGAAATGTCTATACAACCAAGTGGATAATTTTAGATAACGGAGATGTTGAGCGCGATGGTGACATCTGAGCACGCCCCGATGTCGGGTCTCCTGGCTCTCAGCCCAGTCTCTCTCAACCTGGTCAGTACAGTTTATCCGGATATGCTCCGAAGTTCAGGCACGCTGGCTGTTGTGCTGTCACCCGTGGCAGTACGAACACGCAAATGTAGTACCTGGATGTACAGATCTTGGGCTGCAGTTGTGACCGTACGAGGACGGTCATTTGTTATACCTGTTTGGTTGTAACGAGCTGCAAGCCGTGATATCGTGTCAGACTAACATTCAGACGCCTAACAACAGAAGATTGGTAATCTCCAGCGTGCATTCTTTCAATTGCGATGTTCCGTGTGGCAGAGTCAAGACGTGGCGTAGTCATTTGACCTTGAAACGCCTTCAAAACGAATGCCGATTTCCGAAAGTAATCTGGATTTATATAGCCAGACAGTGCATGCTCTTTGCTGCACAATTTCAACTGGAAGGTGATTTCGGTTGCCTTGTGGCAATGCCTTTTTTAATCCTTGTATGAGATCTCATCAAAATCATTTTTTTCAGGTATACTCGATTTTTACTTGTGCCATTGTGTAAAATCATGTTATCAACACTTTTGTTACATATTTTGACGATTGTTTGAACACAAAAAAGGTAATAAATAGATTTTCAAAATTACAAAACACATATGCGTTTCTTTTTTGGGATAGTATATTATATCCCATCAAAGCTATTACCCTGTTGTTTTAGTGTATCACTGGCCTCATGTTTTTATTACATATTCCTTCCTCAACATTGTTAAACTTGTTATAAATGTTTTCTTTGTAAGTGCTTCATGTATGTATATATATCCCCCTTATACTCCCTACCATTCACCAGATTAAGGAGCAAGCATACACTCCGAAACGTCGTGTTATTCACAATAAATAAGAGTTGACATCCATCAATCTTGCCTTTCTTATGAATACCATTACTTAGTTGTTTTATGTGTGTTACACGCTGAATGTTTTTGCGAATACATTCCTCCATTAACCTTTTTTAATTGGGAAATTGTCAAGTAAAGATACAATTACATTTTCATAACCTTCGTAAATACCTGTGCGTATTTTATTATTAATGACAATTATTTAGTGGTCGTATGGTAACACCTAGCGTCACGACTACGGAAGCACATTGTATTTTTTAAATCACATCTATCATTACAAACGGATTGGACTTCTTAGGATTTAGAGTTTTGACAAACACACACATGTACACAGTCTAAAGTACAACATGAAACCATAAATGTTCAAACGTTTATTCTTCAAGGAACAAGAGACCAGTTGATACGATATGGTTATCCCAGCTGGACTTGGTCAATGCCTACGGCCAGCGCACGGACACTCGCTGTCTCGAGGTTGTAGAACCCTACAGCAGAGCCAGCTGTACAGTCGCCATTCTCTACCTGCCCAATCACCACCTGTTCTCCGGAAGTCAGGTCACACTGAATTGGTCCGCCGAAGTCGCCCTGAAAGTATGGACAGGACTAGTTACGTATCAACGTTGCATTTGTGATCAAGCTTTAAGTTCAGTTTCTGGCACTCAGAACAGAAAGGAACTTAACTTTCGTAGCATTTTCGCAGAGCCGATTTTGACACATTCATAGTTTACTGGCACGGATGTATGCGTGAGCAAGATGCGGTACCGCCCGTAGAACAATTCAAATCATATTTTTCGACAAGGGTCACCAGAATAGGTTTTTGGTCATTGAACCTGAAGGTTCGCTGTCCTGTGTCTTCGGTAGGGCTATCCCATAGGCCATTGGTGAGGAAAATTGAAAAGAGACACACATTACACATTACACCTTTCAATTTTGACAGGAAGTATAAGCGTTAACAAACTTTTCAAAGACGAGCATCTTAGGAACGAACCACCATTACTATTTATCACCACCCCTAAACACAACGCATGGGATGCACGTGCACAGCTTAGTAGCCCCATATACGTGCATGGGGTGTCATCCTTGATTTTGACGGTTTTCAAGAAGGTCGACAGATCACCACAGACCATTAATTTTGACAATCATCTTGCACCACACAGGTGTTAGTGTTTGTTTCTAGACCTGTTTTTTGTTTGAAAATGAAAATCGTACACATGCAAATTTTACGCCATACACAAATCAACTTTCAAGAGCGATTACTGTACAAACAACTATGGTCATAAGGAAGTGCAAGTGGTGATGCACTCTCAAAACATTCATTATTATCATATCAACACTGATTGACTGCGATTTATCTCCCATTTGTTTCAATCCTAAATTTAAAATGAAAGTCCCCTACTTTCTAGGAGAATATAATGCTCCCAACTCATCTGATCTAGGATCAAACCACAGTGTCGGGTGTCGAAGGTGATAACAATGTAGGGACTTCACTGTGAACCTAAAACCATCTTCTCAGCACTGGAACTGAAGGAAGCGATATACATACGGCGCATGTGGAACCACCAGCACTGAAGAAGCAGTTGTAGGTGATGGCAGAGTTCGTGAAATCAAAGAAAGAGGCTGTGGTGGTGCCCTCAAGATTTGCTTGGCAGGTGTCGGTTGGCTGGAGAGACGGGATATCCAGATACTCGAAGTTAGGAGTTGTAGTTCCTGAAGTGGAGAGACGTAAAGGGTCTTCATATAATACACTACGACGGCTAGGATTGCAGGAGTTTGGAGAACTCAGATTTTTTCAACAAACAACCTTTTTCTGAAATATTTGAACATGATAAGTGGTTCACTTTCACATAGTTCACTTCGTATGCTGAATTTTGAAAGAAGCATGTCTTTTGTGTCATCAAAGCGTTCTTGGTTCTATTTTCACTGAGAACTCCATGTATTCTTGCCATGACTTAAAAAATATCTACATGTGATGTGAAAAAAAATGAATCGGTACAACGCATGTCTTAGGCAGTCTTTTTCAGCTGCCGAATGGTATCTAAGCAGGTTAGCACAACATAAATCCCGACGTGTACAAACAGCCTCACGAACACGTGCATGCATGTGAAACAACCTCGAACACGACAATAAACCATTTTTCCTCACCCCGAATATCGAGATCGTCTCCAGCATCTTTCACGCAAACCTTTCACGAATTCGTCCCTGGGAATGTTTCAAACACCTATGACAGCAACTTACCGGTATTATCAGCATATCCGGCTGCAGCAACCTTGCAGGTATCAAGGAGGATGTCGTTGGCCATGGTGCTTGAGTAGACGCAGGCGATGCCGGGGCAGCTATCAGATGCTACAGCTGTTGGTAAGGTCACTTCTACTGGACCACCAATACTGCCGGGGGTTGCTGAAATTCCCAAGGGAAGGTATAGCTGTGTTGAGTTATGCTATCTCTAAATAAGGACCTTCTTTTTAAGCCCTGACTCGCTGACTTGGCTGACACAATTCATCATATCCCAACTGTGTAGATCGATGCTCATGATGTTGATCAATGGATTGTTTGGTCCAGACCCGACTATTTACGGATTGCCGCCATATAGCTGGAATATTGCTGAGTGCGGCGTTAAACAACAAACAAACAAACAAATCCAAATAAAACTGAACATCGTTTATTGACAAGTGACTCGTCTCTTACCTGTGATGCCTGTTGCGACAACGGTTCCGTCCTGAGCCACAACACTAAGAAGGGAAACCACATATTGTTAGACTTGTTTTTACTGATGGTAGTGCCAACGCAACTGATAAGTGCAGGATGTACACAGAAACAATACCAGTGGGGATCATGTTTTGAATTTCCTATTTTCTTGGAGTCTTTGAGGCAGTGATTGATTGAACGAGGAGGAAATTGGCTTCAAATATTGAACAAATGTTGGGAATCCTGCAACTAGAATGATCCTTCAAGAACAACTCTCATGGACTCGGGTACGACTCAGTCTGCGCCTGAGACATTTGAATGTTCAATAATATATGCTGTGCTATTAGTTATTATTTTGTGTATACAAATAGGCAACCGTTAGAACATATATGTCTGCAAGGACCTACATGTGTAAGCTCCTTGCGTTAGAGACGAAAGCGAAGAGCCTGAGAGGATCTTTTCGCAAAGGGTTCACATTAATAACAACCGACCCTTTTACAATGAAGATATTTGTTTTACTGTCACGTGTATTGAACAGCCACCGAAAATGGAATGTAATTTGTTACGGTAACCAGCATCGCCATTATTCATGAAGGTAATATTGTTTTAATATGCCATGTGCCAAAATACAATACAGTCAATTTTGATAAACCAACTTTACATTCTACAAACATCGTATGTAGAGATGAAGAATACTTGTTAATATCAGTGATAAGATCAAAGTTTAGTGTTGACCACAATCTTCAATGCAAGAGTAAGTGAGTGAGTGAGTAAGTATGGTTTTACGCCGCTTTTAGCAATATGCCAGCAATATCACGGCGGGGGTCACCAGAAATGGGCTTCACACAGTGTACCCTTGTGGGGAATCGAAAACGGTCTTCGGCGTAATAAGCGAACGCTTTAACCACTAGACTACCCCACCGAACCTTCAATACAAGAACGTTTATTCTTGCAAACGTAAATGAAAAGACATCCCATTGTTTGCAAGTGCACGATATATCGCGTCATGCGTCCGGGCTGTCGTTCGTATACCAATTGCGCAGATCAATGCTCATGCTGTTGATCACTGGATTGTCTGATCCAGACTCGATCATCTACAGACCGCCGCCATATAGCTGGAATATTGCTGAATGCGGCGTAAAACTAAACTCACTCTCTCAGATCAGGACAGTGGAGCCAATCTATCTACCAATCTGGGCAATGCCGATTGGCACTAATGGACATGATGTCACCAGCTATAACATTAATATTACCACTACCAATGTTAATAATAATATAAACATAATGAGTATCATATACATAACTTACTCTGCGTTGTTTACGAAAACAGCACAGTTGCTTGGTACAGACAGGGTATTGGGGCCTGTGATGACTCCAGTACATACAGTTCCTGCAGCAGTTTGGATGGCAACAAGTCCTGGGAACTCACCGCAGCCGGAGATGGCGATGCCGTTCAGTAACCTGGTGACGGAGGTTGGCGTGGTAGATGCCTCAGCAGGACAAACTGAAATTGTACACCCCGAGAGTAAGTCTCACTCAGTAACATTCCATCTGTATCGGTCATGCAAATATTCATGCATACTAGGGCGGTGGGGTAGCTTAGTGGTTAAAGTGTTTGCTCGTCAAGCCGAAGACTCGGGTTCGATTAACCACATGGGTACAATGCATGAAGTCAATTTCTGATGTCCCCCGCCGTGATATTGCCGGAATATTGCTAAAGGCGGCGTAAAACCATACTCACTCATCAATACCAGTGGCTGACGGCATGAGCAACGTTTCACAGTTTCTGAGTTCGATCTGTGTGAACATCAACCCATAACATCGTGCACAATGACTTGCATTAGTGTTACAGTTGTCCATCAAACTCACATCGTGTTGTGGCGGTGGTCGTTGTTGTTGGCGTTGTAGTTGTTGTCGTCGTTGTGACTGTTGTAGTTGTTGTTGTTGTTGTTGTAGTTGTTGTTGGAGCTGTGGTAGTGGTAGTGGTGGTGGTGGTGGGAGGGGTCGTTGTAGTTGTCGTAGTTGCGGTTGTAGTAGTGGTTGTAGCGGTAGCAGTTGTTGCGGAACATAGTTGTTGTCCTACACATCCACAGTAGACTAAAGATTGCTGTGGCCTATAGTAGAAGCATCCTCTGCTTCTGTATTGCCTACTTTCTCTGTAAGAAATACCTGAAACAAACCAGGACAGTTTTATGCTTCTCTCGAGTGTAATAGGTCTGAAGTTGGATACGCCTTTTAGTAGCAGTGCCACCCATGCCGGTAGGCGAGGGATAACACTCCTACAAAAAGGCGTACATCAGACCGTACTATCTAAGGGAAAAGTTCACAACGTATTTATCTTACCGCCATGTTAAATATACAAAATATCATTTTATCTTATCTTGAAAATTGATAGTCTCGCTACCGACTCTATGACATGTAAACAAAATGGCGTCTGTTTCTCGACTGGATTTTAAAATCACTGAAACAAATTCTGACAAGCTTAACACTGCTATAAAAATGGTTAAATATGTATATATGTGAGTGTGCAAACGATTCGACGTATAAAATAGTTTAAATAAAGCAGTGTAAGTGGGTTAAAAAAGTGTGTTCATAGTGAACTCAAAAACAGCTAATCGAACGGTTTTAGAACTCCGTGCTCTGCACGCGTCATATTATGACGTCATACGATTGTTAGCGATACAGGTTCTCGGCGGAGAGTTTGGCGGTTACCGTGGCAGCAGGTAATATTTTTTCCAGTTGTCACCCTCCTGGGTGGGGTGACACGGAAACTTGTTAAAGCGACAATGACCAATGAAATTTAAGTATTAAGTAAAGCAAAAGGAAACTGTGCACATTGGAAATCAAAATATATAATGGAACTACATGCATACACAATAACTGAAATGAACTGACCACACATGCATGTGCTAAGTGATATAAGTTGTTTCGGTATAGCACGTGCAGCACAGTCTCGTATATTCTTAAGTAGATTTCGCTGCTCAAGTCATAAATTGGTGATAGATTACGGTAGACATGTAGGCCTTAAAAGAGAGAATCACCTTTGCCCGCTTTGTATCATACCTAATATAGAAACTAATTATAACTTTTTATGAGAAATTAAGAAATGATATTCTCCCTAAATATTATCACACATACCCATCTACAGTTAAACTTGTTCCATTGTTTACATCAAAGAATACTTACATTATAAATTTTCTTGCAAAAAAAACATCTTTTTTACCATGAAAAAACGAAATACATTTCTTTCAGCATCTGTACCCACAAATGTATTTTATTGCGCAGTTCCATGATGTGGGGTGCTTTTGTGACTATATATCCTGATGTATAATTTTGGGCCTGTGGTCCCTATACTGAATGAATAGATAGATAGATAGATAGATAGATAGATAGATAGACGTAACCTACGTATTCTGTATGGAATCAGCGTATACGTTATTGTAGAAATACCGTGACCCGCGTGCATTGTATATGATAATATTATACTACGCCGATTACGAACAATGTTGACTCCAGTCACAGTTGTTGTTACCGTCGTTACCGTTACGGCAACAATCGCCCTAGGTGTCGCAATGTCGCAGGATCTTATAACCAAACGAGACATATTCAGAAGTCAGCCCCATTGCCAGTGACAGGCGGCTAGCAAGCATTGTGTACTGAATACTTACGTCTTTGAGCCCATCCACAGTTGGTGTTACGGGTTCTGCAACAGTCACCGGAAGAGTCGATGTAGTTGAATACGGGTCTGAAATGTCGCTGCGTCAACGCTGTTTCTTCAGCTTTTAAAGCTTTTCCATAAATCCTTTTCTTATATTTCGAAGACAGCACTTCAGAACTCACCAACACTGCCAGTGACAGGCAGACAAGTATGGAGAGGAAATTCATTCTGCTGTGTGTGGAGCTGTCCAAGCGTTGCCGTCCAAGCAGCAGGGAGACGGAGTATTTATACTGAGCAGGATTGCTGCGGATTAAACTGCTATGGGAATTATATCCGATTAAACAGTCGTTCAAATAATGTAGCGTTTGTTTTCGATGTTGAACCAGCTGGCTAGGATGGACGTTTCAGGTGTGTTTCCACTCAAGAAAGAACAATTCAGATATTTTTTTACATAACAACACGCGGAGAAAATATTTTGGTACTGGAGACGTACATCTACCATTAATACAAGACAAATCTTATGGATAACAACTTTTTGGTTTATTTTTATCACAACGTTTCTGGGCTAGTTCTTGCCCCTTCTTCAGGTGAATGAAAATGAAAAAAAAAAATAAATAAAACAATAAACCAGGAAAAATAAACCAAGAATTGTTATCCATAAGATTTGTCTTGTATTACTACACCAACTTCTAAATGCCCTTGGAGAATTTTATCTACATATTGCTGAGTTCGGCGTTATGCAGCAAACAAACTACAAAAAAACAGTCAAATCAAATTAAAACTGTACAAACAAACAAACATTCAGGATCAGTTGTTGGCTGCATTAACATTTGTTTATCTTTACATTGTTTTGTTGCAATGGCATTGAACACTAATGTCCACTCCGATGTCTTATCATTATACAACTTTAAAGTTACATTCTACTCACACGATCGGTTTGCATCAAAGATGGTTCATACAATACATTTCATTATATCAAATTCCTTTCCGTTTGTATTTTATTGTCGGGTACTTCCAATAGGGCCTGTAAGTCTCGCGAGGCTCTACTTCCGGTACTATTCTGCACGCGCCAACTTGCGACATGCGAGGCGGGGCCAGTCTAAAACTCAAAATGTACATGGAAGTGAAACTACTTCCTTCAATTTGCCATAGCAGGGCATATGCTGGTTCGTGTTCAACCAACCCGATGACCAAATAATAATGCTGAGATGTCACCATTTTCCAAAGTGTGTTACCATTTTGAAAATGAATTGATTCGGATATAGATAAACTAATTTATAATGTTTATTATTCGGAATGATAGCGCATACTTGTACCAACTTACTTCCGGTACTAGATTTCCGGTGACACATGTCATCGTATCCCAATTGCGTAGATCGATGCATATGCTCATGCTGTTGATGACTGGATTGTCTAGTCCAGATTCGATTATTTTTTGCTGAGTGCGGCGTAAAACTAAACTCACTTACTCACTCCATTCTGGAAATATTTCCATTCATCAATTTCTGATCAATTATTTGATGTCAGCCTAAAACTCAATATGTACATGCAAGTGAAACTTCTTCCTTCAGTTCGCCATAGCAGGGCATATGCTGGTTCGTGTTTAACCAACCCAAATGAACAAAAATAATGCTGAGAAGGCACCATTTTCTTAAGTGTCTTACGATTTTGAAAATGAATTGATTGAAGTATAGATAAACTAATTTACAATGTTTATTATTCGGAATGATAGTGCATACTTGTACTAACTTAAGACAAACATACCAGTAGACTTCAGCGCTACAAATATATGTGCAGAATTGCGTCCTTTAACCATAGTAGCCTAGTGGTTAAACCGTTCGCTCGCCACGCTCAAGACCCGGGTTCGATTCCCCACATGGCTACAATGTATGAAGCCAATTTCGGGTGTCCCCCGCCGTGATATTTTTGGAATATTGTTAAAAGCGGTGTAAAACCACACTCACTCACTCAGTCAACCATAGTTTGGGTTCGAATCCCAGGTTCCCTCATGTTAATTGTTGGCCGTGTGTATTTCACAAATAACAACAGTTTGGATACAGCTATTTGAGGTTTCCTTCAACATTGAGTGTCACTCAAAGACCAGTGGAATAAGGTAATGTGAGTCCTAATTAAGTCACGTGGACTTCCTGTGTGCACAACCGACCGAGTTTAGTTTTACGCCGCTTTTAGCAATATGTCAGCAATATCACGGCGGGGGACACCAGGAATGGGCGTCACACATTGTACCCACGTTTGAAATCGAACCTGGGTCTTCGGCGTGACGAGCGAACGCTTTAACCACTAGGCTACCCCACGGCCCCGATGTGTGCACAAAACAGCAGCATTTTATCACCAACACGAAAACAGCATGTTTATGCTTCGGGAAAAAATGCACAAGGAATGAACGCTGTGACATACAGTCTGTTTAGAGCGACGAAAAACAAGATAGACATTTTTGTCAGTGTGAGAGTGAGTAAAGATTTACGCCGCTTTTGGCAATATTTCAGCAATATCACAACGGAGCACACCAGACCTTGGTTTTACACATTGCATATGCTGCAGTTGGTTGCAGTTGGTTCTTATCGATTAACCCTGAACAAGTTGTTTACCCGTATGTTTTGCAGTAGCCATTGGTCGTCTATTCACGTTGTTTGAACATGAACACATTCGAAAGAGGTCGACAAACCTCAAATGCGTGGTATTGGAGTTAGACTGGGAATATTTCAGTTTGTTTGCTTGTTTGTTTTGGTGTTGTTTAACGCCGCAATATTCAAGCTATATGGCGGCGGTCTGTAATTAATCGAGTCTGGATAAGACAATCCGGTGGTCAACACCATGAGCATCAATCTCGGCATTTGGGATACGATCACATGGCCAACCAAGTCGGCGAGCCTGACCACCCGATCTCGTTAGTCACCTCTTACGACAAACATGGGTTACTGAAAATCAATTCTAACTCTGATCTCCAAGGGCCGTGGATGCCATTATAATTATCTAGCTGTAATCTGTTTTTATTGTAAACTAAGTTAAATTTATAATGCAGTCGACAACTGAATACCATTAAATCTCTGAGGGGCATTTAGAAGTGGAATACATAAGAAAAGCAAGACTTTGTCTGTCAACACTTCTTTATTGTGAATAACACGACGTTTCGGAGTGTATGCTTGCTCCCTCCTTTCTCAGGTGAATGGTAGGGAGTATAAGGGGGATATATATACATACATGAAGCACTTACAAAGAAAACATTTATAACAAGTTTAACAATGTTGAGGAAAGCATATGTAATAAAAACATGAGGCCAGTGATACACTAAAACAACAGGGTAATAGCTTTGATGGGATATAATACAAACACGAGGGGGCCAGTGATACGCTAAAACAACATGGTAATTGATAGTGTATGGAATAACACAGGGAAGCCAGTGATACCGTATAAACATAAGGTAAGGGAGGGCAGTAAGCATTACAAACAAGAGGCCAGTGGGCTGATGAGGTGGTGATAAGCAATAGTGATGAACATGTAATTAGATGAATGAGTCCCAAGCACATGGTCGGTAGATTCCTTGGTCAAGGTTGATTCCTGGCTGACATCTCCGTATGTCGGTGTGTGTTGGCTTGCGGTAGATGCTGGTCTTGAGTCCATGGTCTGTGGATTGCAGGGAGACATCTAGGAAGGGAAGTTGGTGGTCGATCTCCATGGTGAACTTGACCTCCATCTACCGCAAGCCAACACACACCGACCAGTACATCCACTACAACTCCTGTCACCCCCCACCCCACAAGATCAAGCAAGCCATCGTGGCCACACTCACCAGACGTGCCTCATCTACGAACTACAACATCTAAAGGACACGTTCACATCCCTCAACGGATACCCTGCAGACGTTGTCACCAAGACCATCAACAAGACCCTCAACACCACAGAGACCAGCCCCAAGCCTGCACCATCCCCCATTAGAATCACCACTCCCTACATAGGACCTGTCAGCCACAAGATCTCCCGCCTCATCAAGAACCAAGCCAGCATTGACGTCACATTCTCTAGTGGCAAGAACCTCAAGAATCTTCTCAGAGCCAACGGCAGAGGATCCAGCACTGCAAGCCCCAACCCAAGAGGATGCATCTACCAGATTCCATGTAGTTGTGGACAACTGTACATCGGGGAAACGCTGCGACCTCTCAACACAAGACTCAAGGAACACCAAGCCTCCACCAACAAGCTCTGCCAGAAGTCTGTCATATCAGAACATATACTAATGAACAAGGACCACGCCATCAAATGGGAAGCCATCAAAATCCTGTCCACAAACAACAACAACTGGCGCCAAAGAAAGCTTCTGGAAGTCATATACATACGGAGATGTCAGCCAGCAATCAGCCGTGACCTAGGGATCTACGTACCATGTGCTTGGGACTCACTAATCTAATTACATGTTCATCACTATTGCTTATCGCCTCCTGTTTGTAGTGCTTACTGCCCTCCCTTACCTCATGTTTTTTACGGCTTCACTGGCTTCCCTGTGTTATTCTATACCTGATCAATTACCATGTTGTTTAAGCGTATCACTGACCTCCTCGTGTTTGTATACTATCCCAAAAAAGAGACGCATAGACCAGAAATCTGTTGCGAAAATGTTGTATTTTCAAACATGTATAACTCGTCCACAAATAGACTTTATTACATGAATTTTTACATCATTTTAGAAGAAGGAAATGTCTATACAACCAAGTGGATAATTGTAGATAACGGAGACGATGAGCGCGATGGTGACGTCTGAGCACGGCCCCGATGTCGGGTCTCCTGGCTCTCAGCCCAGTCTCTCTCAACCTGTTCCGTACAGTTTGACCGGATATGCTCCGAAGTTCAGGCACGCTGGCTGTTGTGCTCTCACCCGTGACAATACGAACACGCAAATGTAGTACCCGGATGTACAGATCTTGGGCTGCAGGGTGACTACCCAGCGGGCACACAACGTTGAATCAACGTTGAATCAACGTTGAATTTTGGTTGTTTGGTTGATCAACCTTTCATAAACGTTGATTCAACGTTTATCATGCGACCAAAGAAAGTTAGTCGAGATTCGTTTAGTTGTCAACGTTGTTTCAACGTAAGGAACCAACAAAATGTCAACTAATTGTTTCCTTGGCAAATTTGATACATAATTCATATTGGTAATAGGTATCCAACTTAGCAACTATCATTTCGGAACATTAATTTCATAAAAGATCAAGATCGAGCTA